GGCCCATTCGGCGGCCTTCGACAGCGGCGTCCGGCCTTCCTTATCCTTCGCGTCGACCTCGACCTGGCCCGTGTTGAGCAGCAACTGCACAACAGCTTCGCGGCCGTTATAAGCGGCCCACGACAGCGGCGTCCGGCCGGACCTTTCCTTCGCATCGACCTCGACCTGGCCCGTGTTAAGCAGCAGCTGCACAACAGCTTCGTGGCCGTTTTCGGCGGCCCTCGACAGCGCCGTCCGGCCGTCTTTATCCTTCGCGTCGACCTCGACCTGGCCCGAGAAAGCACAGGCAAGAAATATAGCCTCATCGCCTCGCTCTCGCAAATACGAAAGGATGCTGTTTCGTCGTGAAAATGCGAAGCCGCGCCCAAACATTGTCCGTTTGCCTTGATCCTGTTGATATTGTGCCCATAGGTCGGGAAGAGGAGAAAGGTGCTGGACTCGCGCTTGGAGGCTTTTCAAAATGGCCTCAACTGCGTCGTGACTCCCCGTAGCCAGCGCAGCAAATATTGGCGGTCCATAGCGTTCCTCTCCAACTTTAAAGCAGGCTGCCGGCTGATGATGAACACGAATAAGATCTGCCAAATTCTTCTCGGCAAGGATGTAGAGGAGGTTGACTGATTTGGTATACCGCCGGACGGCATGCCTTTCGAGAGCATTGTTGAGGGTTACCCACTGTGGAAGAGGGAAATCCGCAAGGAGATCTTGCTCTTTCCCATGCTGTTGAGCGCTGTTGGCATGATGAAGGACGTAGAGGACCGAATATTCGAGAAACGGAAACTTCTGGTGAAGCTCCTCCCTCAGCTGTGCTGCTTCGGCGCCCTGCGGCAGCGCATCCGGTATATCGATGCCATCGCCGATGGGAGCGTTCAGCTGAGCCAAGCAGCAATCCTTCAATATGTCGTGGCAGTGGCCTTCGAAGTTCCCAGAAGCCCCAGACCACTGCCCCCCGTATCGGCCCAGCAAGAAATCCCGGACAGATTCATGGATGAACTGGATTTCGGAGGCTTTGTTCCGTGTGACTTCAGCCAAGCCTTTGGAGGAGGTTCTTACGAATGTCTTCATCTGGTCCTCTTCGACGTCTTCATGGTCCCAATAACCCGATCTTTCCTTATCGAGACCCAGCTGGACGGCAAAGTAGAGCTCCTGTGGCTTCAGGGGACGAGTAGCAAAAAGTACCCATTTGAGACAGACATGCAGTTGCTCGATATTCTCCCCATCCCGCGCAAGGATCATCTCAAACAAATCGTTAAGTCCAGGCGGGATCTGTTCGAGACGGTTGCGGATTTTGCTAATGGAGACGGAGCTGTTGGGATACTCCTTTCTGAGGATGTCGAGGACCAAGACGACCCAGAGGAAGATGCCCGATGACTTTTTGAGGATTTCGGCTCGGAGTGTTTCGGCGTGCTTGTTTTTTCCCAACCGGAGTTTCGCCTTGATGTAGCCCTCGATGTCGTCAGCATGCCCGTCCTCGGCTTCCAAGGTGACCTCGACGCCCTGCTGGATGACGACGGTCGGATAGTGCCGGCTCGAGAAGCAAATCCGCAGCTTCACGTTTGCGTCTTTGGCGTCATCGCACAGCTCTTCGAAAAAGCAAACCATGCCAGCAGCCTGGCTCTGGTCGCATTCGTCCAGTGCGTCAACAAATATCGTCAAAGACCGACTCCCGAGCTTAGGAATAGCATGCTTTAACGTCTGCTTCAACGCCTCTTCGTGCCATCCATTCTGCAGGATGCCTCTTGCGCCATAAGCTGTCATCCACTCCAGACTGCCCCTCAGGTCCACCGTCTTCTCAAAGAGTTGATGGAGAAGAGAACGGTAGAGACCTATCGTTGACTTTTCCTCGATCGTGCCCCGCGCGAGGAAGAAGAAGGACAGTATGATTTGTGATGAGTCGCCTTTTGCACTCCCCCTAGCCTCCTCAAAGAGGAGCTTCATCAGAGTAGACTTCCCGGTGCCAGGGTTGCCTTTGATCCAGAGGAAACCGCCGCCGTCTGGCTGCTGTGCCATGTCGCGCCAGGCGGTGTATTCTGGCTTGGCAAGGAACCAGCGGCATGTCCTCCCTTGGGCCGCAGTGAGGTGTGTTAGGCGTTCGTCGATTTTGGAGAAGAAGAGCCGTTCTACGAGAGACTCTTTGAGGGTGGCATCGATGCTGTCGCTGACTGAGCACTCGTCTCTGCAGTTTTGAGTTTCCGGCGGCGAAAAGCTGTCCTGAACCTGGCTCCCGACGGCTGGGAGCTCAGGAGGAGACTGCTCGTGAAGAATGGACGTATCGGACAGTGTGCGCAGGGGAAGTTGCTCGTGCAGGGGGCTTATCGTGTGCTTGCGGTCTCCAATGGTTCCAAGGATGAACGTCATTGCAGCAGCCACCTTTGAGTACTCCGGGTCCTGAAGCCCATAAAAGCGACACATATCCATGTGGTTTTCTGAAATGTGTCGCTTCGTCTCGATTGTAGGATCGTCGAGACAAGATGAGCGGTCGTCCACCACCTTCGTTCCGAAAAGTCCCGTAACGCCATATTCTTCCTGGAACGAGTGTACCGGCCATTTCCTCTCATGACACAGGACGGAAAACTCGTCTCTCAATTCCAGTAGCTGTTCGGCATTTGGCATAAGTCTGTCCACGATCTGGTGATTGACTTTGAAGCCAAGAAGTTGGACTGAAGCTGATACGATGTGATGGAGGAAATTCCGTGGATCTGCGCCTTTGTGGGGGGTCCCGAAAAACATGAAGCCAGATGTCGCTTCGAAAATCCCATGAAAACGAGGCTGCGTCGATGCACACCTTCGGGATTGTCGCAGGGCCTCTTTGACGACGATGCCGCCGAGGCTGTGGGCGATGAAGAGAAGCGGCCGGCATGACTCGTTTGGACAGCGTCGCAGTTCTTCGAGGGAACACAAAAGGTTCCGGGCATGGTCGGGGACCGTGTTTTTGCTAACCGGCCCCTTCAACAAGAACCGGATGTTGGTGTCGTAGCCGTAGGTGAGGATCCGAGAGTCGGGGATCGTTTGGCTCGCAAGGTCTGCTGGCCAGTAGACTTCCTCTTGTCGCCCTTCAAGTTTCGCGGCGTTTCTGCTGCCCGCAGCGTCCGATATCTCTGTTCGGTCGTATTGTGGGATCGAGGAAGTAGCGGTTGAGGGATCTCGCGGGCTTTGGCCAAAGGACAACTTCGGGATCTTAAGGCGTCGGGCCGTGGGCGGCTCTTCGTTTCGGCCGCGCTTCTTCTTTTGTTCGGTTGATCGGTGTTTGGCCCTTTGCCACGTCCAGGTGTTTTTGGGGTGGCCAGTAAATCCATGGACGAACACTAAGCTGCAAGACGTCAGTCGTTTGCCCTCCCAGATGCGAGATACAACGTGACGTAGGGTAATGACAAGCGCTTCAGGAAACAACCAGAGCTCTACATACTCGATCCTCGGATGCGAAGCTTCGTACAACACCGTGATACCCTTCTCGTGGATCGTGACTTGAGTCGCCATGACCGCTCGTGTGCGAGGGGACTTGGGACACCCTTGGAGCGGGGTCGTTCGGCCTGCCCCACCAGCGCGTCCTCGACCCGCCAAAATCAATCGTCGGGAGTGTGTCTGATAACTTCAGCAAGGCGGCAACACGATATCAGCAACAAAATGGCAGTGAAAAGAGATGCCGCAAGTTGCTTACCGGGAGAGATTTCGAGTGGCAGAAGGCAAATGAGCACATAGCACCCCAAAAGCCCGAGGTTGAGCCCTGCGGGGCTGTGTAGCGCCCAAGTACTAAGGCCTTTCGATAATTGAAGTACGTAGGTGGGTCTGTTCGGGTAGCGCCAGCCTAGTCTGAGGCTGAGTTCAAGTGGCACGGGGGAATTTTGACACTGGTTTAACGCTGTTTGGTTCTTCGTACATCCTTACTGACCTTGTCCGGCGGATATAACGAAACAGTTACGCTAGGGGTTTTATTTTACCTTGTCTAGTCAGCGAAGCGTTGTTATTGTATTTTTATTCTCTGTTTTCCAGGCTAGAAATGCGTCTCCGTCATTCGAAATCGCCCGTTGACTTCCAATGTCAATGGTGCTCTGCAGCCGCGGTGGCTCAGCTGCGCCACGGAGGCTGGGCGGGGTTGTCGCAGCGGGCTGGCACCGATAAACTTCTGCACTGCATTAGCTGGTAACGACTTGGATCTCGTTCTGATTGGCTGTTTTACTAAAGCTGCTGCGGGCTTCGTTGCTAGCCACTTCCGGACTGCAAATGGACTTTCCACTGCAAAAGTCACCATCACGAACAATAATCACAACCACAACAAAGCCAAAAGATCGTGTAAACGCCCTGGATATCTATACTATAGATATAGATAGCCATACACACAACATTTTGGGGGCTTTCCTATCTTGTAGTTGTGCTCGTGGTGGTGGTTTCGGTAGGGAAAATCTATTTGCAGTGCGTGTTTTTTTTTGGTGGATGAGGCAGGGTGTTCCCACCCAGGACGCCATTAGATGCGTAGGGAGTCCGAGTGCACCTCTGGCCCAGTGACTCGGACGCTTTACCCACTTCTTACTCTAGACTCCTACTGGCTGCACGCATCATCAGCAGCATTTGTGGGTCTGCTTCTGACGTCACCCGGCGATTAGGGTTCGTCTATGGAGCGAAGACGGGAAACACCACACCATCGCTCTGCCATCGACTCCCTCACGATCGATACAGTGCATCACAAAACCAAGTGTGCCCCGTCAGAGGCCAGCGCCACAGTGTGAGAGATCCGTTTCAACCGCGGCCAGCCCTTTTTACGTTGGCACTTGCGGTGTGGCTGCGAGCTTTCTTTCGCGCACGGCACCCACGCTCGTGCCTAGCGGCGGCCGAAGCCGGCGCGCCAAAATTAACACACACCAGCTGGGCGTTAGGCAAGACTGTGTCAACTATGGCGGCTGCACACGTCGCAGAGGAGCAGGGGTGCCCGGGGTAACGGGGTATCTTTGGCTATTGTAACAACTTTGGCTCGTCTGTTTGCGGATAACAGACGGCTCGACGCCCCAAAAGGGCAGCAGGTCGGCGCTGATCTGGGCGAACTCGTCTATGGCGAGCGAGTTGTGTCCTAGGGCAAGGTCGATCCATTTGTCGAAGTTGGGTGGCGGCGGAATGCCGTGCCGCTGCTGGTACGCCTCGACCGCCTCCTCAAGCGTTCGGCCGCTCGCTGCCCGCCCTTGCCATAGCACCGACTCGGCGTTGGCTTTTGCGATCTTCCAGGTGGCCGGCAACCTGTGGCTGCTCCTCGTCCAGCTCTGGGTGGAGGCTCCTCCTGCCGAACCGTAGAATAACCAATCGGTAGAAACTGATACGCAGAGAATTTATTAGAGTCGCGAGGTTCCAGCGCATTTCGTTACGCGTCCGGAAGCGCGTCGTCGCTAGTTTATACCGCGTAGGCAACGCTGATGTTTTCCCTGCATTGGCAGTTTCTTCCGTCCTCTTTCCCATCTGCGACCACCAGCCTCTCTTTTGCCTGTTAGGGTGCCTTTTCCGAGGTCTTTGAATATGCAGTGTGTGGATCACCAACCACCTATTTCCTATCACGCCCTGCCTGCTGCTCCCGCGCTGCGGCGCTGATAACTTCACAATATCTCACTCCTTTAGAAGCCAACTAGTAGTTCTGGACAAAGACTGCGCCCCAGTATCGACCTACCGTTTTCAAAGGACCGATACATCCGGACTTGACCTCTGATCCGCCTTGCGCCACGTCGACGAATCTCTCCCACTTGGCCGCATCCTCTCTGGTTTTAATTGGTAATCTCTGCCCTTCTCCTCTCTTCTCCTTCCATTCTTTGTATTCGGCACACTCGTCCACTATAATATGCTCATAAGCAGCGACTAGGAGCTGCACCTCGGTATGCCACTCGAGCACGTCGTTTCGGGTTTGCGCGCAGAGTTCATATTTCTCCGTATCGGTTTCGCAAAGGCGGATCTGTGTACGAAACTGGTTGATTTGCCGGGCTTGGTCAAGGCTTAACATGAGGAAGTCGTCGCCAAGATCGCCCGCCGGAATTGTATCAACGGGGGTGGTGCGCAGCAATTGCCCGCTTGTTTGCTGAGGATCGCCAGGTGTAGGGTACGAAAAGTTTATACCTGAGGCACCCTAGCAAAAGCGAATCCTGGCGGAAGCCGGCCTGAGGAATACCCACATTTTGTTAATGTGGATGTCATAAATTGATAGGAGACGCAAACCGCAAGCGGTTCGCCCAAAAGAGCCTTGAGGAACGAAACTAGGTATGGAAATTTCAAAAAGCACTGGAGCCATTCGCATGTGCAAAACCTTTCTTATTTGCAAGATTTTCACATGGAAGTTCGGCAGTGGCGGCAGCAGGGCTAGGATTGGTGGGTGGTTGGTGGCTTATTAAGCTATGCGGGGCTGCTCAGACAGTCACTCCGCTTTTGGGGCTAGCCTTAGCAGGTTTCCGGCCCACCTCCACGAAGCTCTAGTGACAACCGCATCGGATGTTATCAAGATTTGTCTGCGGTAACCTGTTACCTCGAAGTCTAAAGCGGCGGCACGCCCCGATGGTGTGAGATCTTATTCGGCTTCCGCAGTTTACTCAAGTCGTAAAGGGCTAGGTTACCAAGTTTAACGCGGTAGGCTGCAGGCAAGAGCGAGAGGAGACGTTCGTCGTTGGTTGTCGTCATTCGGGAGGCGAATGGAGAATCGAAGCGATTGTGCGTAATTTGTTAGCTCGGCTTGCCAGCCATAACGAACAACCTCGACTCCGTTATTTTTCCATTTCTCCGTTTTGAAAAATGGTCGATAACGTGCGAGATCGACGCGTTAGGGGCTGTCAAGGGCGCAACGCGTGTTGCTGGTCTGCGCGCTGGATTTGACAGGACATGCCGAGGACATTTTGTCAATTTACCGCTTCTTGCGCCGCTAGCCAATCAGTTTTGCGTCAAAACACGACTTGCGGTGCTGCGACGTGGAAATGATTGGCTGTGGATGTGTTTTGGCAGAAGCCACTGCAGCCCCAAAGCTTTATGGCATTCAGCTGGCCCCGCCATTCCTCCTCGCAACTTTGCATTCTTTCGCATGGTTGGCGTTCTCTTCAAAAGGACGGGGTTCGGTTTTGTCAAATACAATTGCGATTCGAGACAGCACGTTCCCGCATGGTACACCACATCGTTCAGCACCTGGAACAGGATGACCATACCGGCGGAATTTTTCATGGCAGTCTTCGTGACGGTCATCACCATCCTGGCGACTGCTATCCTCTTCGGCCGACACGCCAGGCAGCCGTCGGAGGCGCCAAAGCCCAAAAAAAATGGCTTTCCGCGTCAATGACATCCCAATCGACCATGCGGATGGGCTGGTGAACCGTACCCTGAGGTCTATCGCTAAGCGCCTGCGGAACAGCACTGATCGGAAGGAGTCAGACGCTCTGTACAAGGATTTGCCGAAGGACAGTGTGCGGTTACTCCGGCTTCTGCCCCACCAAGACGAGAATTCTCGCATAGAATGTCAGCTCATTACCTGCTCCATATTGGACTCAGAAAAAACCCATCCTTACGAGGCTCTATCGTACGTATGGGGATCTGAAAAGAACAGGCTGCCCATCCATATAGACGGCGTTAAGCAGCTTGTCCAGGCAAACCTCCACCGCGCACTTTTACATCTTCGAGATTGCTTTGTGGAGAGGATCCTATGGATAGATGCTATCTGCATCAACCAAAAAGACAACGAGGAGAAGGGGCAGCAAGTTCAGTCCATGGCAAAGATCTATGCCAAAGCAAGCCGGGTAATAGTGTGGCTTGCAGACCCCCCGGACAACGGAGATCAAGCGGATAACGGAAATCAAGCGGACAGCGGAGATCAAGCCCTCGAAGCAATCCGCACTGCTGCTGAAGAGCAGCGTGTGGATTCCCAACTGGACGAAAGGAAGCAGCAAGTGATTCTAAGTCTACTGAGACGGAAATGGTTCCAGCGCATCTGGGTAAGTAGCAAACTTTTATGGCGTGATGTGCCCTGTTGTGCAGTGCAGCCTTGCCTCACTATGCGATAGGGCATTTGAGCCTCGAATTGAGTCAAAGCAGCAACTTTGACTTTCTCGTCCTTTGCCAGAGTTGGGTGGAGGCTGACTTTGCCGAACCGTGACACAAAAGGTCAATCATATAGCACAGCCGCTAATAATAAAATTAATACAGGTCCTTCAAGAGGTTGCTGCAGCTCGACATATCCTGATCAAGCACGGTTCTACGGAAATCGACGGATATGCATTCTGCTCAGGCTTGGACGTACTCAAACCGTTCGATAAGGCGCATCCGGACCTACAGGCCCTAATTCCACTGATAGCCCACCTTATAAGGGGCGCAGTTTTCCGGCGGCGGCATGAAAGAGACGACACTAGTCGGCCAGCCAGGTTTTCCTTAAATATCCGCCCTTTAGGTGAGCTGGTGGATATGTACCACACTCGCAAGGCGACCGAACCTCTCGACAAGGTTTATGCCTTGCTTGGCATGAGCTCGGATGCAGCAGAGATCGAAGCAAACTACAAGGCTTCATGGGAAGACCTGTTTCGGAAACTTATCAACTTCAGCCTTTCCGATCAGGTGTCCGTCAGCACTTGGGAACAAAAGGAGGTTGCGGTGATTGAAGCCAAGGGTTGCGTTCTTGGTGAAGTATCTTCCGCCGGAGACGACGCAAATCAGGACGGACAGAAAGTGGAGATTACTTGGAAGACAGCGCTCGACCTCTCTGATAGGAAAGAGCAACAAAGCTCCCACTTCGCCTTACAGCCTTCAGCAAAGGCCGTCGAGAAAGGCGATGTCGTCTGTCTCCTACAAGGAGCATCAAAGCCGACAATTATCAGGCTATGCGACGGTTTCTCGGCCATTGTCAGGATTGCAGGTCCCGCTACAGACCGTCTGCCTAAATGGCCGGATTCAGAAACGGCATTGCCCGCCGATTTACTGCTGATCTGGGATTGGGACGAATCTAAAGGGAAATCCCAAGGTGGAAAAGGCTACGAGCACCTCGTAAGCAGCCGAAGGGTTCCCAAATGTCCTAATACGGAGTGCCAGTGCCAAGATCATCTGGACAAAGCTTCAAGATTATGGAATTTCGGAATCCTGCTGAACAAAGTGTGGCGATATGATGAAGCGGTAAAAAATCTTCGAAAAGCCGTGGAGGTTTATGGGACTGGGGCGGCATTGAGAAGTGGGGACAGCCCCTACGCTGACCATGGCCCTTGGAAAGAGGCGGATAAGAGGGTACTGGGGATGATGGATGATTTGCTCATCGACGACAATGGCGCTGTTAAAGCAAAGGACAAAAGTGACCTGGCGTCGCTCTCAAGGGCGATCTCAAATGGGCGCGAGGCCGTCATCCAGCTATTAGTCGACACATGCAAGGCCGATATCGAATCGAAGGATAAAAAGTACGGGCAGACGCCGCTGTCGAGGGCAATCTCGAATGGGCACGAGGCCGTCATCCTGCTGCTTGACACAGGCAAGGTCGATCTCGAATCGAAGGATAAGTACAGGCGGACGCCGCTGTCAAGGGCCGCCGGCAACGGGCACGAGGCCGTGGTCAAGCTGCTGCTCGGCACAGGCAAGGTCGACGCGGATTCGAAGGGCAAGGACGGGCGGACGCCGCTGTCGTGGGCCGCCAGGGGCGGGCACGAGGCCGTGGTTAAGCTGCTGCTCGGCACAGGTAAGGTCGACGCGGACTCGAAGGACAAGGACGGGCAAACGCCACTGTCGTGGGCCGCTAGGGGCGGGCATAAGGCCGTGGTCAAGCTGCTGTCGAATGAGGACGGGCTCGTTGCGAAACTTCTCGAATAACGACTTTACCACCTCCCCACCCACCACCCACTGCCTGCCCTTACTTATATACCTAAAACGTGGCAAATAGAATGCCTAAGAATGTGAAAGAACGTTGCTAGGCCAATGCTTGTTAGATGGCGATAGCTCCGTGTGGTAATATTACGGCTAGGGGCGGTGAAGGGTGCTTTGCTGGATCTATAACGTAGCGAATTTTAGTTTCCGTGGATTAACCCTCACGACCACTGCATCGTAAACGCCACAGCATTTTTATCAAAATATATAGACCTACCCCGGCTATTAGCCGGGCCTTTAAACCGCGATCTTACGTATATAACGCCTCCCAGACGCGTAGGGATTAACCTCGAACGCTACTCCGTGTTGCAACCGTGGGTTACACTGGGGTTCCTATTCCTGGGTATTGTTAGGGATCACCGGTACCAAAGAGGCAAGGCTGCAGTAGAATATCGTAGATTTGGCTATTTGAAGCTAAATAGTAGGAAGGAAGGATTTTGTTGGAAGGGCAGCCAAAGGTCGCACAAAGCTACGAAAGGATGCGGTGGATCCACGACTCGGGGCTCCGTGGCGGGTGACAACGTCCCCCCGGCACGGAGGCTCCAACGCGGAGATCACCGGTTATGCCGTTGCGCACGGAGGCTGTGCGAGTCGCGGGTCGAATCCCGATACCGGGAGTTGCCTCATGCGACCGCACGCCGCGGCCTCCGGCACGGGATATATATCCGGGCAGGGCTCGTACCAAGTGTAACGGTGTGGGTCAAGGCCCACAGGCCAAGACAGACCCACACGGCCGACCATTGTCAAGACGCACAGAACGCGCACCGAACACCGAGTGAGTGAGTGAATGAGTATATTTAACGTCGGTAAGTCGGGATCTACCAGTCCCTGCCTCCCAAGGGGCATACGACGTGCTAGCGCTACCTAAGCTATTTACACCAGGTTATAGTGCTGCTATTGCGGCGGCTAACAAATTAAGCCCGACGGCACACGGAGGTCGGGCCGCATTCCGGCGCTCCTTGTTAGTGAGCGGGCAATCGGCAGTAGGGCGTATATAAACGCCAGGGCGTTGAAAGCGCAGCGGGTGGTAGTAGTGCGTTCGGCCGGCAAATGTGCCGGAAAGGGGTAAGGCCGGGTGTAG